CTCATTAATTGAATTTTAAATTCAATTATGTAGTTTTATACAAGTGTATTAAGAAAATAATTACTAGTATAATCAAGAATAATTGTTCATCTTCCTCCATTAGGTCGCGAGCTCTATAACTACTAGGGTAAGGTTTTTGTTTTGATTTTTAAAGCTACATGAATGGTTTTTGGATTAAGCTATTAGATATAGAATTTATCTACATGAAATTCTCTATCATTTGGTATAAAAATTACTTGGTGAACATGCTCAGATGATGAGATTGGAAAATAGGGTTTATGAAGGATTTGTTGATTTTGAAGAATTGATGAAAGATTATAATGTTATTGATGTTGGAGATTAATTTCCAAGCATGTGTAATGATCAAAGTCCCTTATAAATGCATAAGAACAATTCGACCACACCTAGGGTTTATGAGAATTGATTGAAATTGGATTGAATTTGGTATTAGGATGATTGGAATTGCATGAATTTGATCATAGGAGGTTGAATTCATGCTTGAAATTGAATGAAATCCTTTCCCTATTGCATTAGGTAGGTTCGACAATAAGGGAAAATATTGAAAAATTTCCTATGGTCTAGAATTGATGTTAGATGTGTTTTATATGATTTGGAGATCGATTTGGATCAATTTGGAAACTTGAAATAGAACAAGGGCTAGTTTGCAAGTTTTGGTAATTGTGGGACATTAGTGCATAAATGTGTTAATTTTGTGGTGTTCAGTGTTGCATTTTATTTATGGACTGCTGGAATTTTAAGTTAGATTAATGATTAAGGATCAAAGTGCAAATTTAGATAAGTATGGTGATGGAATTCGAATAGTCTCAAAAGTTGGGACTTAATTGTGAGTTTTCAAATATGGTGGTATTATTTTGGTATGAAATTTCATTGCCAGAAACTTATATTAGTATACTGATTTTTAAGTTTAAATATTGGATTGGGATCAAATTGCAAGTTTTTGAATGTTAAAGTATTGAATTGAGTATATTAATAAAGTGTTGGAAATTGTAGTAATTAGTGTGGAATGATTATAATGGTGAAGGATCATTATGAATTAAATGAAAAGGTTGATATGAATTCCAAGAAGAATTCATAATTAGCAACTTGAATACAAAGTTGATAAAAGTTACAGGGTTGATGATGAGAATAAATATTTATGGATTCCATGGTTATTTTGGGAAGTTTGAAATTATGATGGGAATATGATTTAGTTTGATATCAGTTTTATTTTATAGACTTTCATATTATTAAAGTTAGCTTATGTTAGTATACTACTAACATATAGTTGAATATTTTGTGTTATTATAAGATGTTGTCAGACCACGACAAATATAGTGATATGAATGACATCAAAGGAAATGAAAAAGCACGTGAATAGGAGTGTTGTATAAAAGGTTCGGTTGTGAGATAAATGTGATTGCAATTTATTTATTTAATTAATCTAACCGAGGACGACTTGCGATAAGTCAACCTCATATTATTTTAAAGTATGATTTATATTTTAATTATGGATAAATTTTTAATGTTTTCATAAAGTTTTATGGATGGTTTAGGGTATGAATTGCCCAAGTTTATATTTCTATGATGATAAATTGGTAATGATTCTGATATTGAATTGTTGATTATGAAACAATTATAATATTATCTGAAAAGCCATTGTATGCTACATTGAGAGTCGTAGATACACTTGGCATGCCATTGTGTTAAGTAATACTGATTCTGAACTAGTACATTAGTGTACATTGTGACTGGCACCGTTGGTGCAAATGATATGATTGCACTTGGAGTGCATATACTGATTCTGATGATAGCACCATGAAGTGCTTAGCGCGCATATTCTGTTTGACTCACGTATTTTGTATTCTTTTAAATATACTTTGGGTTGTGCAAATGAAATATAAAGGTTACAAAATATGTATGAATGGAAATAAATAAGAAATGATTATTTTATTTGATAACGTTTATCATGATTTTGATAAAATCATGAGTGCGATATTGATTTTCATGTTTTCTGATGAAGAAATTGGCTTGAATAGTCGGTTTGGAATTTAAAGATTTTATTTGTGTTCTTTTAAATGTTTTATTGGATTTATGCTATTTTAACTATTTATTATCACCTTGAGTTATTATTGTCTCACTAAATTTTACTTAATGCAAGATGATTTTCACGCGTAGGCTTGGATAAAGAATAGAACGCGAAGTGAGGAGCCTCCTGAGATCTTTTTGGAGATCATACTGACTACTTGTATCAGTATGCCATTTCTGATGTTACTTTTGACTATTAGTGACATGTATAATTATGATGTTAGTTTGCTTTATCGAATTTATTTTAAATGGTCTGTAATAGTAACTAGGACCATTTATCTTGGTTAGTTTAAATATGTTCTTATTTATGAATAAATAGTTAGTGTATAATATTATGGTTTGAAAATGGTTTTCAAATTAAGCAGTGTTTAGGTAATTTTATATAGTTTATGAAACATCATTAAACTGTCTAATTGTCGCCCAAAAATGGATTCATTTAAATGATTAAATATTGATTTATAAATTTTATGCAATTAATGAAATAGTTTTAAAGTTGATAAATGAATGTTTGGAATGAAACAACTTTTTAAGCATTTTTGTTCAATAAATATCTGTAACGTTGATGTAACATCTTTAACTCGTATTTCGAGACGAACACGGGTTATGAGTGTTACAAGAGTGTTATAATTTTTTATCAGTTTATCGATTATAATTTTTTTTAAAATATTAACCAGACAGAAATGAGGCTTAAATCTAATGAATATTTTACAATAAGTATACAATTGATCTTTGACTATTTATGTATTCTAAACTTGTTGTTTTTTGTTAAAACCTGAACTAGATATTAACTTTCTAACTAAAATATGATAAAATCATATTCTAATGGTGTGTGTTGACACTGTCATTACTTTCAAACACTAATTTGAATGCTTAATATATTAAGCATTGACTCGACGATATAATGTAAACATAAAGTCGATCCACAAACGATTTTAAAAGATAAGATTTTATGATATCTGAATTCACAAGTTAATATTCAACTCAAACAACCACCAATATTTAACAGAAAAAAAATGATTTTAGAACATGTAACTAATCGAGTGATTATTTTATAATTTTTAGAAGTTTAAAAACCCAATCAATCAATATTCTATAATCGAATGATCATAATCAAACAACATTCTATAATCGAATGATCATAATCAAACAACATTCGATAATCGAAGAATCATAGTCAAAAATCATTTTATAACTTTTAATAATTGAATTACTAACAATGCAACACCTTATAATTAATGGACCTATAATTAAAGGAACATTTGTATACTTTGCTCTTAATTTTGCTATTTTGAGACATTCAAACTAAATTATCGGATAATATTGTTTTATTTTAAGACAAGATTCATCTAATCATATATCCATATCTGATCCAATTAATCTAAGATTTAGAATCAATTTGGTATTACTTTTAGAAATTACTGTTTAAAAGTGTTATAAAATCATTTATGTTATAAATTAAAAATATAACATTTAAATTATATTTTATATAATTTATTATTAATATTTTAATATATAAACCATGAGTTTTATTTATCTTTAAAATAATTAAAAAATATTAAAAATAATAAATTTTTTAATAACATTTATATTAAATTATTAAAATAAAATATAAATACATAATTAAATAGAACTGATGTATTAATAAAAGTAAAAAAAAAATTACAACAAATAAAGTTGATTCAAGTGGTAAACAGTTTGATATTGCTTAAATAATGTCTCAAGTTTAAGTCTTTGCATATGCAAAAACTTCATGCTCAGAGACTCACCTACCAAAGTCAGTTGTTCAACGCGAATCGATCCAAATTAGTCAAAGCGAAACCTTGAAATTGAAAAGGTAACCAAAAAAAATAAAAGATTTCCATTTACTTATAAACGCAAAGTTGAACAGAAAATTAAAAGTTTAAAACCAATGTTTTCACCATATTCTTTTTTTATATTTTCTCATTTTATATTATTTTTATAATCAAAACGAATTTTTAAACCAAAAATATTTTTAAACAACATTACAACAACAAAATCTATTCTCATATGCAATAGGATAAGGGGAGGTGGGGTAGTAGGCTGCCCCCAACGCCAGGTTGAGAGCAGCTTCCGTGGAAGACCTCCGCAGTAAGAAAATTAAAAATAAAGATAAAATACAATGCATGGATAAATAAGTCAATAAATACATAGTTGAAATAGTTGAACAATTTTCATACGCTGTCTTCATATACGCGTCTGTAATTTGAAGTAATCCCTGCGTGAAAATCTCTGCTTATAGACAAAACGTAATTCCCAGCTAAATTTAAAAGAGAAAACATGAAGAGAAGGATAAACAGAAGTCGGCGATAACAAGATGCGATAAGGAATAAAGTTAAAATGGTTAAAACCTAAAATAAAATAACACTACTCCGCCACCCTAATTTTAAGCCTACATAAATTCCAATGACATAAACATATAAAAAGTAGAATTCATGAAAATTACTACAAAGGCATTAAAAAAGAAGACTGAGATGCCCACACTACTCAGTTACCCTAATCTTAAGTCTAGATATTTTCCTATTGAAGGTCATGTCCTCGGTAATGTTCTAAACAACATTACTAAACAGGACTTTACTGTGTCTTACACAGTATCGTACTGTGTCTTACTGTGTAGACACTCACATAGAGTACATCTCTGATTAAATATTTTAAACATTATAGTTAAACGAGTAATATAAATACCATCTTCTCTTTTCATTCCCAGTTCAGGTTAACTGGAAAATTTGAAATTAAACTTATCTAGCAAAACCATAGAACCGAAAGGCAAATCACGGATCAAATATATTGATCTCAAAGCAAGAAATTATTACATTGACTAGATCAAGACAAAAACCAGGGTAAATAATTCACTACAAGTACAAAACCATTTTATTTAATCAGGCCCATCGCTGCGGCAGAAACCGTATATCCATCCAGTTCAAGCATCCATCCGAACCACACAACGAAGACCCTCTCCCGCCAGCATGTAATCGAATGCCTTGTTGATCTCCGCAAATGGGACCGAGTGAGTGATGAATTTATCCAGTTCAAGCTCCTTCAACATCAACACCAACAGGGTCACTCTCTCTTATTTCATCGATCTTAAATGAGACAGAAAAAAGGTTACCTTCTTCATATATTTCTCGACAACACCGGGGATATCGGATCGAGGTTTGTAGTTGCCAAAGAAAGTACCCTTCAACGTCCTCTCGTTCAAGAAATTCACCGGACTTGTTTTGAATGCATCATCTTTGCTCGGCACACCCACAAGAACTGCAACACCCCATCCGTCATGGACACATTCAAATGCAGAAATCATGGCCTGGATGCTCCCGGTGCATTCGACGCTTCGATCAACTCCACCGCCGGTCATCGCCGCAATCACCTAATCATTAAGCACATGTTAGGTCCCAAAGAGCATGTCAACTGTAAAACGTATACAGGATTGAGTTTAAGTGGGAACTACAAACCTCTTGAACAGGTTTATCATGATCTTTCGGGTTCACAAACTCTGTACAACCAAATTTCTTGGCTGCAAGAGGAGAAACAGTCGATTTTGTTAACTTTGCTTCATCAGAAACATAAGCAATCTTCGAATGTGTTAATGTAAATGACAGATTAGATTAAATCTACCTTCTTCGAATCTGTTCGGGTTCAAGTCGATACCAATGATCCTAGAAGCCCCAGAAACTCTTGCTCCCTCAGCAGCCTAAGTTTCACAAAAGAGAATCAAGTACATTAAGAGTTTCCTAGTCGCCAAATGGAGAAAAACAGAAAAGCAACAAAAATAACTCACAGCAAGACCAACAGCACCGAGTCCGAAAACTGCAACAGACTGACCCTTTTTCGGTTTAGCTACATTCACAGTGGCACCAAACCCTGAAAGCATAGAAGAATTCATAAGTTGTGAAACAAACATCCATGCTTGTCACTATCATCATTTAGGTATATCGAAAATGTTGCGGTGTCTCAAACCTGTGGACATTCCACAGCTAAGAACACACACTTTATCAAGTGGAGCCTCTGGATTGATCTTGGCAACCTGACCAGCATGGAGGACGGTGTACTCGCTAAATGTCGATGTGCCAAGGAAGTGATAGATAGCCTTCCCATCTTTCGAAAACCGAGGTTTCCCGTCGTGAATCATTCCACCCCTATCGGTGTTAATTCGTAGGAGATCACACATATTGCTTTCTTCTGATAAGCAGTGGGGACACTCCTTGCATTCTCCGGTGAAGATAGGGAGAACATGATCACCTGGTTTGAGATCAGTCACGCCCTCACCTACACTCTCAACAACCCTACATCAAAAGAACTCGGTAACTCGAGAGAACTCAGACGAAATCAATACAACATCCGACACCGAATCGAGTTAAGCAAAACTGATTTAGACAAATGCATACCCTCCAGCTTCGTGACCAAATATGCGAGGGAACAGAGGATTTTGTCCCTGGAAAAAAGAGAATGAAATCAGAGATAGGTATTTAAGAACATCACTGAAACTAATGCACAGCTGATAGAGGAATAATGGCAGATCATTATAAGGTTGAACTGAAACCAAAAAGTGTAAACCTTAGCCTCCCAGAAGTAGACATCGGTGTGGCATAAAGAGGTGAAGAGAATCTTAACACGAACTTCATGCTTTTGAGGTGGTGCCACTTCAACTTCCTCTATTGACAGTGGTTTCCCTGCCTCCCACGCCACCGCAGCTGCAATTTAAATAAGATATAGAACAGTTAGGTATTAAACTAAATGATAAATCAGAAAGTTGCAATTTTCACTCTTAATGATTTAGTATTAAGAATTAAACAAAAAGAAGTGAAACTTTTGAATCAATCAATCAGAAAGATCCAAAAGTTTATAGCACAAAGTTTCATTAATTCAAATAAAAAACCAAACCCAGAAAAGAAAAAGTGAAACGCAGCGAAGGACAGTGATTACAGTTTGTATCAGAGAAAGTGTTGATAGATCACCTTTGCATTTGATGACCTGACCAGCATTACTCATGGTTGATGAATTAGAAATGTCTGACAATGTTTTTGTGGTGTAGTATGATATGAGAAAAGGGAGGTAGGGGAGGGTCTGTTTATAGGCCCCAAATGGCAAAGGTCGAAGAAGAAATCAAATGTACGAGAATACCCATTTTGAACGGTTCTCCGAATCTCCAGGCGATTCCAAGTACCTTAGTGGAAAGTGGGGGTGGTAATCGTGTCGGTCTTCTAGTTTCTACGCTTAGTTCAAACATTTGGCGCCTCGAGAAACAACCACGTAGCCTTATTTCAGCAGTTTCACGATTTCGGTTTCCCTTTTTCTTTAAACTCTATGAATAGTTATCTAAATGATGGGTAAGTTACCTATTTAATATCTTAACTATTACTTCTGTTTTATTTTAATTATCGAACTATTTTATTAAAATCACACTAACATTTATTTTAACTTTCATTTTAGTTATTTTTTATTAAAAAATTAACGATAATGTTGATGTGTTATAATAATATAATGAAACATCATCATTGATTTTTTTTTAAAATATCACGTCAATAATTTTGTTATTTTTTAGCGGGCGATGAGTATAACGAAACTAAAACGTTTTTAAAAAATAATTAAGTGATAAAACGAAATAAAATTAATAGTTGAGATACTAAATGTGTAGTTTAGACTATAATAATTTACAAAAACGATTATACAATTTTAAGAAATTATTAGGGATGTTATGACTAAAAATGGAGAAAATTCTCTCTGATTTTTTTTTTGTTTTTCTTCTTTTCTCGCAACTCCCCTTTGCGCTGCTAACTACGGGTTCAAATCTGAGTACCCGGTTTTCGGATACCCAAAATTCCAGGTACTTAATATTTTAGTTTGCGCTTTGACCCAGATGTTAGGAGTATCCGGTACCTGATACTCGAATTTTGCGTGCACTTGTAATTTGAGTAATCGGGTACTTTTATTCTACCAACAATCTAAAACCAGCTTATAAGTATATATACTTTTATTAATTTAGTCCTTTTTTATAATTTTTCATAATTAATCTCCTTCAAAAAGATTTGATCGAAAAGACTTGATCGATAGAGTATGATGTTGATACTTTGATGGTGTTTTTGAACGTTTTCAAAGTTTAGAGACTGATTTAAAATTTTGACCATATCATAAGGATGTATAAGGTAATTAATCATATACCATATCATAAGGATGTATGAGTAATAAAAAAGTAATCGGGTACTCGGGTCATCAAGTACCCAAAAAAACCTAATTTTGTGACTTGAGCCCTACCCGATAAATGTCGGGTCAGGTACCCAGCCCAGTTGGGTAATTTTTTTTAGATAATTACTCGATTTTTTTAGTTCGGGTCGGGTCAATCAAGTTGTGTATTTTTTAACAACTCTACTGTCAACCGCTTCTCTATTACTATGGTAGGGAGGGAGATTTCCATGGTCATGGATGGCGTTAATATATAAAAAATCTCAAAAAATAATTTATTAGAATATTAACTCCCAAACAACATTAATTAGAAAAATATTCCACAAACTGTATATGTATGACTACCTCACGTCCTACAAAAAGCGTGTCAAGGCCTCATGTTCTATAGGGCGCGGGACTTCTCCAAAAGTGGAATCACTTTTGAGATAATACAATTTAATATTTCAAAAATCCTTAGAGATTGAAACATCGCTGAGAATTTGAAGAACCGCGTCTTTTTAGCAGACCTCGCGGTTTGCCTAATACGAGGTCACCAAACTATCTTATGAATTTAAATTAATCGTTATATTTTTTTTGTAAAGTATATAATAAAATAATAAAAAGCTCTATTGTAATAAATAATGGCATAATACAACAAAATAACCCTAACTTTTAACAGTATTATCAAATTTGTCTGTATTGTTTTTTTGGAACATATGACTACTCAACGTTTCATTTTGGGTTAAAACAACTCATGTTAGATGAAAATCATTAATCAACTAACGATCAATGCATGATGCTGACGAATCACATACACATGGAGGGAGATGCTGACGTGGCTATCCAGTCATGGTACATGATGATGCGGCACTACCGTCATATTTTTAAAAAAAATATTTTTTTAAAATTAATATTTATATTTATATTTAATTATTTGTCATTCTCTTATTAGTATTGGTTTAAAGGAAATATTGAAACCTTTTATGCATGGAAGGGGACTTAAACTTGGGTCAAAAATGTGAAATAGCAAGAATTTTTCCACCAAACCAAATTGCTTACTTGGTATAAGTAGGGAATCAAGCTCTATTTAATATATAATTACATTTGTATTTAATGAAAAAAATTAAACTCATGTTACTAATCTTTTTTTCTAAAGGGAAACCGAGGAATGAGTGTGATTTTCTGGTTTATTGTATTTTTCTCGTGATCCCAAGTATTTTCCTCAAGTTTTCTAGGGGTTTTTTCCCTCATGAATGATTTAATTAAATGGTTGTTTTGTTATGTGTTTTACAGGTACATGATGGGAAGAAATCTTAGCCCAATATTGCGGCGAGAATTGACAAATCTTGATAAAGATTATGGTAGTCGAAAATCAGCAATTAAAGTACTAAATCATATGTGTGAGACTTGGATTCAAAAGCGATACCAGTCTTCCTTGCTCAAGTTTCAGAGACCAAAGAAAACGGGTTTGTGTTTGACGAATACACCATATCTCTCTACAAAGTTCTTGCTAGTGTTCATGGTGTGAAGATTGTTCCTCAGATTTATAGTATAATTTCCACCATTATCAAGACATTAGCTTTGATTGCAAGCTCTTTTCCTCTGCAACAAGCCTGTTTGAAAGTCGTTCTTGCAATTCCAAGATATGGGATTGATCCCACCACTCCGGTAGATAAGATATCATCCACTCACTTTGTAGCTGCATACTTGGTGTAATCAATTCGAGATTCCTACCTGATTTGAATTTGATGGAGATGAAATTCAAAGGGGAAATAATTTGAAAAATTAAGGCTATAAACCCTAATATTTTGGGAATAATCGGGGTAAAAGGAAACTGAGATAATGAGAAGAGTTTGAGAAAAATATAGTTTGATTTTCCACTTACACCAACTAAGTAGCTTGGTTTGGAGGCAAAATTCTTGCCATTTTGCACCCTAGACCCAAGTTCAAGTTCCCTCCCATACATAATGAGTTTTAATATTTCCTTTAAACCAACATTAATCAGAGAGTGACATATGATTGATAACAAATAATTAAATAGAAATAGTAATATTAAATTTTAAAATTTTTAGTTTTTAAAAAATGTACGTGACAGTGCCACGTCATCATGTACCATGACCTGGACAGCCACATCATCATCTCCCTCCATGTGTATGTGCTTCGTTAGCATTAGGCTTTGACCGTGAACATTTTTCATCCAACATGGTTCATTTTTGACCCAAAATGAAACACTGAGTGGTCAAATGTTCTAAAAAATAATACGAGCAAATTTAACAATACTGTCAAACGTTAGGATTTTTTGTTGCATTATGCCATAAATAGTAAAAATTATTAAAAATAAAATTTATTCTAATGTAACATGTTACAAAACAAAGTTTCTTCATGGTTCCAAAAACAAGAATCATAACAGGTACACAGGTTGTTACTTGGTTTCCAAATTTGGTTGATTGAACTACGCGGACAATTGTCATTACAATTGCAGATTTGTAGTAGTTTTGCAAAGGAAAGGTTGTGACAACTCCACGACATTAAGCCTACAAACACATTGATCTCTGAACGAATAACTTCTAAATTTATTTTATTAGAATTGGCAAGCTTGAGAGCTTTCACAATTCAAAGTCCTTCATCTCTTATTTCACCCCAAACAAATTAGAATAATGTCATACACATATATGGCCTTGATATTACCTATATCGGCCGCTCTATTCAAACAATGCAGACCGGATTCTGAATTTCTTCCACTAAAATAATCATACATGCCTCATTGGTATAACACTTTATGATTATTACTAGCGTTGTATCTTTCTTGAAAACTTTTCTCGGGTTGAGTCCACAAAATGACATTGATATTCTTCATTGAAACGTTTACGAAGATGTAATTGTGCTTCGAGGCTTCATGAAACGTCTTGCAATTTAACCACTTATTGATAAAATTTACGATATGATTAAACGCCACATGCAGAAGAATTTTGGATAACACTTCTGTTGGGAATAACTCCACAACATTACTACATTTTTTCCATTTTTAATATGTTTAGAAAACCTTCCAAATGGGCCCCCTATTTATAATAGTCCTCGTACCCTTTTCGAAGAAATAAATCGATGGACCTCGCGTTATACAGGATGTGAGGTCTGTTGGAAATACGAAACTTTTAATTTGAGTAATATCTGACTTGTAAGAAAGGATCTCGTGTTAAACAAAATGTGAGGTACTTTGGAAAATCATGACTATTGATTAGAATAAAATCCAACGTGCAAAAAGGACCTCGCGAATTTTGAAGCATAAGGTATGATTTCATTGGTTCTTTTCTTGTTCACTTATTCTAGAGTTCAATTCAAGATTTACGTGCATCGAAAGCTCATTTCCCAAACCTAGTCGAGCATAAGGTATGATTTCAAAATTTATGTGCATTGGAATTTGTACCAGTATGACCCAAAATTTACGTGCATCAGGTGCATACCAAACAAACAATATCCAGATATTCACAAATAAAGGACGATCGTCATAATGCTAGAGTAATTCGGGTGCCCTAGCCGTTTCCCGATCGTCAAAGAAAAATCTTATGTCATCCCTTCTTGCTTGATTTCTAGGTGAGAACTTAGTTAAATTGTTTATTTTTACTTGGTTTGAATGCTTTTAGCATATACTAACTCAAAACACTTCAGCCCGAACACACAACTGATTAAACCAAAATTTTCCAAAAATCACTGATGGTACCGATATTGGGCCATCAATATCAATACAGACCCTTGGGTATTGATACTCAGCTGAGTATCAATATCAAAATTAGCTTTCATGTTTTGAAAAATACCTTGGTATCACTACTCCTATACTGGGAGTATCGATACCAAATTTGGCTTCGATGTTTTCAAAAATGCCTCAGTATC